ATAACTAATGATGGTAATATCTTAGTAAATAATCTATGCCAAAGCTTTGCATTTTATCCTTACAATATTCGAATTGTATTCTAAGTAAAATATTCTAATCTAACTTCTTTTATTTACCACACTTTAAAAGGATTTGTTGAGCATTATAACCACTAGCAATTATGTAATACATAATTGTATGTATGTAATGCTAATGTTTAGTTAATCAAACATGAACGATAACAAAATAAAAGAAGTTAGATTAGTCCATATTCAAATTATTTAAGTTTATTGAGGGATGTAAAAAAAACAACTAATTTTAACATAAAAGAATTTTTGCTATACCAAGGTTAAACATACTCGTATGTTTATACAACATCATATATGTATATAGACATACATCATGGAAAGCTATTGAGTAATTTGGTCTTTAAAAAAATTATTCTTTTTCAACGTTATCTAGTCAACATGAAAATATTACAAAACTACAAATGTAACAATGAAAAACTTGTAGGTACGTAAAATGTATAACGTAATTTATGTGATACTATTGATAGATCTGAGTACAAAAAATCAAATTAAGGTATATCATCTCGGACACAAATCCAACTAACCAATGCTGCCACAATTGGCCTGCTGCTCTACAAACGAGAATTTTTACTTCAAATACATAACTCAACATTATATAACAAGTCTTTCACATAGTTAATTGGTTTCAGTTCTCAAAGCACGTTCCCACGGTGCGCTTGCGCCGTGATCTAGATGCTCTTCGGCGATAGTCTTAGTGTCAAACGTGCTGCGACTGTACAGGGCCATGCCAAACTTTAGTACTTTCGGGTACCCTTCATATTTATACGAAATCATTCTATCAGTCCATTCCTGGAATGTCCAAGGTAGAATTGGTAGATTACGAATCAGACTTTTTCGTAGTCGTTTAACTGTTATATCATTCAATTCAGGTGGACGGGACTCGATTATGGAAAATGTTTCTGACGACTTAATATTATAATAGTATATTATATTATAATATATTAATTATATAATTTACTCATACAAAGTAACCTTGCTTTGTTCATTAAAAAATAAGTTTAAAAAAAACGCAAAAGTTATCGTGATAGTATGATGGCAATGACGATGCAACTTTTTGCTCAGATTCCGTAATATCAATATTTAGCAGTGTTACTAGTTGGGCAAAAAAAGGTGCATCTAGCAACACTATGACAAGTTGCGACTTTTGATTCCCATCCAGTATCACCAATATTTTCTAGTGTTACTTTGGTTGGAAAAAAAAGTGCCCATCAGTAACACCACTAACACTGTTACTCGTTCGGGTGTTACTGGATGGGAATAAACATTATTCGATTTTATAATTTTTTACAAGTTTTTTTTTCCTTTCTGTCAATGCAGAAACTCATTTTTTACATAACGCAATGATGTCTAAAAGTTAGAATCTACATAGATAACATTCCATAGGCTTATCGTATAAAATCCATATATTTATATTAAAACCTTCCAGTTTTTATATGATGAAACCATTTATTAACTAACAATTAGTACAACTTAATTTACACATTACGGATAGCCTATCCAATTACGAGCCGAGTTGACAGTCACTCAATCATTCTGATCCGACCGGCCGGCCTGCTCAAATAATTTATACAAGCTTAGGTATGCGCCCTTACTTAACATTTTCTTTACGTCGCACGTGTGTCTAGTGTGCCAAGGTTTCACATCGATAACTTTTAAGATTATGGTCAAGACTTAGATTATATTTTATTCGCAATAAATTTGTGACATAGCTCTAGTTTGAGTGTATCCTTTATATGTATATCCTTTGAGAATTTAAAAATACATCACACTTTTCAGGCTTAGATTATTTCTGTTACACATATTACTACATTTCAGCAAACAAGTAAATTGAACTAAATCTGATAACTAGAGATCTCCTGTTGATCGAATTTGGTATATTTGATATTCGACCAAAATTTATTAACTTTCTAATTTTCTTTTGTTTCATCGATTAGCAAAACTTAAATATTACCATTGTATAGACTTACGAGTATATAAGGCTTAATGTTATAGCGTACTCATTTCTTAGCAAGCATGAGAAAATAGTTTGTTATAAATTTATATCATAGATATGTATAAATTTATAATTTACCTTATGATAAAATCCATTACATGTTACAAATATTTTAAACTGGATGTTATTTGCAAACAAAGGGTATAAATCATTGACAAAGTTTTACACAATCTGTTACATAAATTATTTTAATTTTTACGCGCATATATTATAGTATTTTAGATGATTAACGTACATTTTATTTAAGGGTGACTGTTTTCCTATATTATACTAAAACACGGCGTATAAAGTACTCAATGAGATAAGAAAAATAAATGGTTATTCAACTAAGACAGTAAACCGGTGTTCCTCTGAGAAAAAATGATTACCGCTATAAGAACAAATACTAATAATTTGTGTAGTTAGTCCAGTATAATATCTATAGGTGATCAAAAAATTTGTGCCGGAAGAGGAATACTCCATCTCTGGCTATCTTACTAACACCACTGATAGCAAATAGCGAAACAGCACAATGGGAATAGTGCCTAGTAGGCACTCTCTACTGCCTACCTTCTTCTATTAGAATAGATTCGATTAGAAAACAGAAGGAAATTTTTTATTGCAAAATTTTAAATGTTCATATGTAAGTTGTCAGTTTCAAGATCTCTGAATAATTCTATCTATATATGTATATTCTAGTCATTTTTTTTTATTTCAACTACTAAATTGAATTAGAGGACCTGCCATATTATTACGACACAGGGCTGATTTAATCATGGAACCAGAAAATGCCCATTGAAACTTTATAATAAATACCATCGAGCTTAAGCTTAATTGATTCGCCTTCGCTCTGTTCGCTTCTGTTCTGTGTTAATAGAAATGTGATGATAATTGCTTGTTAAGTTGTACAAGAAAAATGTTTTAAAATATAATTGAACTTAATAATTGCATTAATTGGAAAATGTAATAATAAATAAAATAATTATGTTTAATATCCAAATTTACAATTCCACAATGCGTCGTGAGTCACCAACCCCGCCTTTTACGAACATTATTATAACAGCATTCTTTGGTACTGACGGTACACAATTTTATTACGCTTTTGTAATCCGTTTTAGTATTTCACATGGTCGATACCGTACTCCTACTTTCCAGCAATTTTGTTCAGCTTTTATCTTGAGCACATCTTACAAAATCTACTTTAGTCTTTTTTTATAATTGACATATTACATGTCTGTCATCAAAATTATTACTCAAAAATATTAAGAATCATTTAATGTAAACTTCACTTATTTTTGAAATTTTATAGTTAACAATGTGCTAAGCCGATAATATATTTTTTTAATTTTTCTTATATAATTATAATCATAAATATATATTTTCTAATTTACAACAAATATTTTAAAAACAACAGACTTCAATAAAGTACAAGTACATCAGCAATGAAAAAAAATTTGATGCTCTAGCAGGCTTTGCTCTCAGCCCATCTTTGCATTTCGCCTCCTCATGATAAGGCAATGTTTCAACCCGTTTTTTGGTGACGGGGTGGAAAGTCCCTTTGGATCTCCGGCTCTTCAAAGACCAGGAACCAGGAGTATGTGATGTTTCCACTAGAAACCACCCCGAGGGCCGGCCTCAGGCGCTGTACTCTGACCTACCACCACAACTAAACAGGCCCTATCACGAGAATATTTTGACCACTAACAACTACTAAAATAATTGACATCTCTTGACGCCAATAGGTTCATAAATTAATACTTTCGGATTTTGTAGATACGTGTAGTCCGTGTGGTGACGGATTAAGAATACAGAGTGTCACCAGCCCTATTCATCCCGTGGGTGTCGTAAGAGGCGACTAAGGGAGCAAACTACCCAGGATAACAGCACTGCAAAGAGAAGGAAAACTTGACACCAAACCTATACCAACCCATCTGGCCAGCGTGGTATAGTAGGCCAAAACCTCCCTACTAAGGAGAGGCCTATGTCCAGCAGTGGACTATTAAAGGCTGTTGATGTGTAGATACTTAAAACTTTGCTATAAGAGAGAGAGAGAGAGAGAGAGAGAGAGTGGATGAAATTGCGTTTGCTTGATTAACACCTGCAATTGGGACAAAGAAACATTTTTAAAAGCAACACCATAATTTTACTTACAAAAAACGTTATAACAACCATAATGCCTTATTACACTAAACTAAGTAACATACTAACTGAACCACGCTTTTTATAAACCTCATTTTACTAAAATAGTTAGGGGCCAGTATTTATTTTAAGAATACAATTAATGTTGCTATAAAAAACACTACATTTTTTGTAACCTGATCTTGACAATTATACGTACGACGACATTCTGTAATTAATAGTCGTCAATACATAATATTTATCTTTACTAAAGTCAGTAGTTCATTCTGTAGTTTCATTATTTATTTTATAATACAGTTTATTAGTCTGTTGACAAGTATGGCCAACAATATATACATGGTGGATTTGTTTATTTAAACATCATTTTGTTTGATATCGGGTTTCCCATATATCAAGTCCAAAATCGTCTGCAACCAAATAGAATCACGATTCGCCTTTCAAATCGATGCCATTTGTAAAGTGGCAAGGATATCACTAAACTTAAGGGGAAATCCAGACATAAGCGTTAACACGACCATAGATACACGATTTATAGCACAGTTTAAATGTACGATTCGTTTCGTTATTTTCAATACTATTGTGTGATTCGTCTCTGTGTGAACATCATCATTATTTGTTAGCCCTTCTCAAATTTAAATGTTTGTTGCAGGTTATACGAAGACGGAATAACTGGAAGTGTAGTGCTAGTGTGTGCTCTTTAGATACACAATGAGAAGACCCGTTCTAACCACCGCCAATCATATTATGCAAGCATGTATGTAACAGTGGAGCTATTGATTTAGTGAGTTGACATTTCAATTCAATGTCGCGCGTGTAGGCAATGGCTTTGGCAAACTTCACGCTCGCAGGCGTCGGTGCGGCGACGCCGGCGTTCGTGGCTCCTTCCTCGACACCTCTGCGCGTCGACCTTGATGACCTACTATACTCCCCTGACGAGTATCAGTCAGATGCGCCATCTCCACCACAACAGGGAATCAACGAACCTTTTGCTCCACCTGCAAATCAACAAAGAAGGCCAAAAGTAAGAAAGCGCGCTGGTACTGCATATCTCCCTCCCGCTAACCAATATACACAATATCATGGTAATCCGCCGCAAAACCCTTACCAATTACATGCACAGATTTACCAGAACACAAGACTTGACGTACAAATTGAAGATCAACGTATACGTGAAGTGAATACACAGTATGATAATGCGGGACACTATGTGCACGATCCTAGTGGTGACTATGATTATGAGCAAAGGAGAATGAACCAAAATCCACAAAGTCCAGGTCATAACCCTGGTTTTGCGGAGACACCTTATGAACCACCATTAACTAGTACCCCTACTTCTAGTCGAAGATTCGATGGAAAATTGAATCAGAATGTAAACAACTTCAATTTTAATAGACCACCAATTACGACATCGCCGCCTAGGCCACCTAGTGAGAATACTAAGACTGGAAGAGGTGGCGGGAGTGAACAGACAGGTTCTGATACGCCACGTGGTTTCACAAAAGTAGAATCGGGAGGATCCGGTGGTAAAACGCAGTTGCACGCAGTGCTGGACTATGATGATGATGAATACTATGACGACTCTGAATCAGGTATGATTTAAATATTTTGTTCTTACAGAAACCATTATTTGTAAATTTTCAAACATAAAATGGTTGTCATTTCCAATTGATAATATTACAGTCATTATATAAAAGCGGAAACCTAACATACAACATTTTCAGCATATTCTCGAAATCCTTTCTGTGACTAATATAAAAAATTCTAAGTGAAAAAGCACATGAGCACCAATGATAAAGTTATACGCTATGGTGAACAATGTTCGCGTTTAAATGACGTAAGCTCAGGCCAAATGGGTACGGTAAACACAAATAAATGCATTGAACGGAACCATAAGTAAAATAATCTTAATAATATTGTCTTCACAAAAATTCTCAATAAATTAAAACATAGCGATTTACTTAACACCATATAATATTAACCCCATAAAACCTAGAATTAGCTTAACTTATGAAATTGTTTACAAACATATTGACTATTTCACTTTTCTCAAAAATAGTTTAAACCTAGTAAAAATAGTAAAGATTTGAAGATCTTAATTTTTCAAATACTAAAATTTCATAATGATTTAGCAGTAGTAATTGTCGTGCAGCTATAGTTAACACCTACACAATCTACTTAGAACAATACTTACTGATTTCAATGACGGTGTCCTGAAGCGGTTTTTGAAAATATTTAATATATAACTCAACACATATTTTTCTTTATGTTAATATAAATAAACAATATTCAACTTTACCGCCCTAACACCCCTTTGATGCTAAAGTTCAAAATTGTAAATATTTTATAGCAATCTCCTACAGCCAAATTAATGTGCTACACTACACTAAATTGTGATCTCTTGTGTTACATTTTAGATTTTTTGTTCTTTTTTCGTAAAAAAAAACAATGTTTTGCATAAAAAAAAAGACAAGGTTCAAATGAATTTAAGACTTGGTTAAAATGAGTTTACACTTTGATTGCTTATTTTGCTCTATCATTGTAATAAGCTATATTAATTTTGTAAGTTTATACATAACTAGAAATTTATACTGTCAAATTATTGTGTCCTTTATATATTTATTATAATGCCGGGAAAAGTATGGTTACAGGTCGTCTAAATGTGAGTAACAATGGTAGTACATCGTCGTACTGAATTTGGCATATGCCTCGATTGGGGACGTCAATCAACTGATTTTGAAATTAGGCAGGGAAATGGTGTATAAGTGTGACATTTTACACATGAAGGGCTTTGGTCTAAGGTCTGGATTAATACGTGATAGTGATTCCCCAATTAGTTTAACCTATTTTGATAGTCGTGCGAAACAGCTAATTTGACACTTCATGGAAACAATTTCACATGAAGCTTGAAAACTTCATTTGAAAGTGTTTTCATTAATCCTTATTTCGTATGTATTATTTTCTTTTATTTACTGGTCTGCAAGAGATCTTTGTGTGCATTAACAATTTCGCTACCAAAGAAATTGTAAATCAAAGATATAAACTTATCATTTCGACGACCGGATGGTGTAGTGATTTGTGTAACGGACTGCTATTCCAAAGTTCGCGGGTTCGATTCCCGCTCAAGTCAAACATTTATGTGCATGAACATTTAATGTTTGATTTGGTCTGGGTGTTTCTATGTATAATATGTATGTATTTACAAAAAAAAAGTATATGTATATGTATTTATATCAGTTGTCTAGTACCCATAGAACAAGCTCTGCTTAATTTGGGACTAGATGGCGTTGTGTGAATGTGGTAGAATATTATTATTATTATCATTGAATTTTGACTGCACGGATAGCGTAGTGGTTTAAGTGGTCGCCACGCCGCTCATTACTACCCTGAGTCCGATCCCCACATGGGACGACACTTTGTGTGCTTCACAAATTGTTGTTCTGAGTCTGGGTGTTCTTTGTGTCCTTTTCATGTATGTTTGTAAAGTCCCCCGCGACACAGGATTTATTCCTAGTGCGGGAGTTGTCTTTAAAAAAAAATCTGCATGTTGACTCATTAATCATGTCCTTATCATGTCATATGATAAGGAAACAGACATTTATTTTTAAATATTTATATTTGTTTTTGTTAGATGACATCCTGCGTAATCATTTTTTCAAGTATCATTCATCATCAGTATAAGTAGTTAGATAGAATTTAGATAGTTTTATAACAATACAGATTTTTTCAAAACAGCTGGATACTGGGATAGAAGACGGATTTCTCCATTCTGTATTTATATGAAGGCATTTTGTGTATTGTTTACGGATGTTATGTTTCGAACATATTATTCTTAGGTTATATTTGAATCTCTGCAATGGCCTGGCCTGCAGATTTGATACATTCTATTAAAAAAATTTATTCCATTTGTGGCGTGCAGAAAAAAGTGCAGCAATTCACTTTCTTCTGCACGCCACAAATGGAGTTAATTTTGACATACTTAGTTAATTCTAATCGTGTTAAAATGACTTTTTAAATTATACTTTTTAAACAAAAACTACTAACTTCAGAGTCCCACTCAAATAGAGGGTACAAGTATAGTACAATTTATTTCGTGTTCCAACTAACTCGTTACAATTAATACGTGTCAAAGGCCTTCGATAGTTCAACTAGTCGCCAATGCCACAAATACAATGGCTAGACTATTGTTGATTTAGAAGGTTTATTTATTTCCTAGTTATCAAGTGAATGTAAAACAAGTATCTATGTTAAGTTAGTAGAATTTAAATTAGTCTGCTTGAAAGCCACTTAAGTATGTAGTTAGCTGTTAGCGACCACATATGGGACTCATGTTACAGAGTAAACTTAGTTCGTCATTGCAAAGCTGGATTTTTTAGCATTGTATACGCCAGATTCGATGTCTTGAAGTGTAACTAAGTGTATACACTCATTTTGATGAATATCGTTTTTTAACCGACTTCAAAAAAAGGAGGAGGTTCTCAATTCGACTGTATTTTTTTTTTTTTTTTGTATATTTGTTACGCGATTACTCCGGCTATTATAAACCGATTTGAATAATTCTTTTTTTATTTGGTAGGTCATACGTCAGAGGTGGTCCCATTGTCACCAGGTCAGGATCTGATGATGGGATCCTGGGGAAATCGAGGGAAACCCTCAAATTTTGTAGGCATATACACTGTTTATCAGAAATCATCTTAATCTATGTAGATTTTTGCATCTAATGGTCACCATCTGATGTTGCTGAGCTGATGATGAAGCTGATGATGAATGGTTTAGGAGTATGGGATCTCTGTAACAAAATTATGTAATACCATCGAATTTGAATGTGTTTGAGTCTAATTAATAAGGACTCCGATCCTATGTGATATTCAGGGTCTGATGATGGAGACGGTAAATAGCCATGGGAACTCTGTAATAAAATAAAGCAATTCCGCCGTGTTTGTGCTCATTTGATTCGTCTCGACTAGGAGCTTCATGCTAGTCGATTTTTAACCAACATCAAAAAAGGAGGGTTTTTGATTCGACAGTATGTTTTCTTTTTGTATGTTTGATACGCGATCATTCCGCCAATTTTGACAATCGTACATTTTGTTTGTCCACGGCACCTAGGATACACGGATACGATAAACATTTTTAGAGTTGGGCTGTGAGTGTGAGCGTTTATTTATGACCTTAAAAATCACACTTACTTCCCACGAAAAATTAAAAAATAAAACTATTTTTAAAAAAATTTTAAAACTTCAAACAACTAAAAAGCAATTTAAATTACTTACTTCAAACATTCAACAAAATTATTGATACTTAGAAAACCTACCTATTTACAATTTTTAATCAGTTATTTTTCAACAAACCAACAAATAAAAAAAATACGCGATTACTCCGCCAATTATGAACCGATTTGAATAATAATTATTAAAGAAACTAGGTACCTAATTGTTGGAAAGATCACGCAAGCGTATCATTTCTGTTAATGATTTTTCGTCGTGGGGTCGATTTAATAGCTTATTTGCATCCAAATCAGATATGGCAATGCCATTTAAGGTTTTGACGCAACTGAGGGCTACATAAATCTGTCCTTTAGCGAAATTCTTCTTTCCTAAATCGATCACTGCTTTATCAAGGGTTGTACCCTGAAGTTTGTGAACGGTTACTGCCCAGCTTAAGATGAGCGGTAACATTCTTCGTTCGACATCTCCATATCCCCTTTGCGCTTGAAATGTTGTACAAGCAGGTGAGATTGCTACACAACCGTCATTATCTTTTATTCTATGGCCAACAGTCGCGTCATCAAATTTTATAAGCACAGATTCAGGCAACTCGCCTTCCTCCAATTGATCTCTTCGGAGAGCAGGCCATTTAATTTTTAACCGACTTCCAAAACACAAAAGAGGAGGTTCTCAATTCGTCTCAATTTTTTTTTTTTTATGTAAGTTTGTTACGCGATTTCTTCGTCAATTGTGGACCGATTTTCAAAATTCTTTTTGTAATCGAAAGGGTATGCTCCCGAATTGGTCCCATTACCACCAATTCAGGATCTGATAATGGGATCCTAGAGAAATCGAGTGAAACACTCACAATTATTGGGAATTTGACAGCCCCGACAACGTGTTTTAGCTACGAGTATTTCTTTAGCCAATTAAACCATGGCAACTGTCAGAGACTGCGCGATGTGATGCGCAGAGAACTTGCAGTATTTATGTCATCACCGTCATTTTTGTTGAATTAAGGAGAAAAGGTTGAAATTTTGTATTCTATCTTGTTAAAATAATTCGGATAGACGTTTTGTTGCTATGGATGGCATCGCATTTCGTTTGTAAGTAATTTTATACTTAATTTATTAAAATAGTTCTGGAAAAAACTCTTAAATTTTGGGTGGGTCAACTAGGTTAATTTCTAACATACTAGTATTAACCCTTCTAGTTGGAACTCCTTCTATAAAATATTGAGCATATTTGTTGAGTAGTCTCACTAAAGCTTCCCTATCTTCACCTTCGAGATCAGTGTCAATTGAATCGGAAGTTATTTTGTTCGGTTGCAACTCACAAGAATTTGACTGTTTCTTAGAAAAGAATTTAAGCTGATCTTGATCAGT